TTTGAAGATTCTTCATTCGTATATATGATTATGGAGCTTTGTGAAAATAAAGTATGTAAATTGGTGTAATATGCTATAAATATGGAAATGTCGCGTAATTACGCGTACCTTTAGATCTTAGGAAGGTTAAAATTTTTAATCATGATTATCAGACTTTAGCTTATATGAATAAAAGAAGACAACGGTTGACCGAAGCAGAAGTTCGTTATTTTATGCGTCAAATCCTTGATGCATGCGAATATATGCATCGGCATTTTGTCATTCATCGTGATCTCAAGTTGGCGAATCTCTTCTTATCCAAGGATATGAAAATCAAGATCGGTGATTTTGGGTTAGCAGCTCGATTGGAACGCGAGGGTGACAGGAAAAAGTATGACTGATTTATATCTTATATATTGATCTAAAAACTTTATTTGTTAATATTCTCTTTATATAGAACGATATGCGGTACTCCAAATTATATCGCACCAGAAGTGTTATTCGACCAAGTAAAGGGTCATAGTTTTGAAGCTGATGTGTGGTCTTTGGGCGTTATAATGTAAAAAAAAAAAAATTTGGTTAAATAGTTTATTTTACGCGTTTTTAATGTTTCATAAACTTTTTATTATTTCCATAAACAGGTACACATTATTGTTTGGTAGACCACCTTTTCAGACGGATGGAAAAGTTGAGCAAATATACAAGTTGGTTTCAATCATATGTATGTTGTTAATATCATTATTTTTACAATTCGGATTGTTGAAACTGACTTTATTCCAATAGGAGAATCAAAGAATTAAAATATGACTTTCCAGGAAATATTACCGACGTTTCCAAAGAAGCAAAAGCATTAATTAATTTAATGCTAACGTTGGAACCTGGTAAATTTAATAAAAAAAATTTTCATCGTTTAAAATTTTTAATCTTAATAGTTTAATAATATTTTCTTTATTACTTAAGAAAAGCGACCAACAATTCAACAAATTCGGGATAATGGCTTCTTTATGCTAGGAGCTATTCCAACTGAAATACCTGTATCTGCACTGACTATTGCCCCAAGTTTCGAGCTTCCACCACTTACAAAACCTCGCATTAATTTGTCACTTGCCAATAGACGACCACTGCGAGTCATCCATGTTGGCTCGAATCTGAATAATCTGAATTCTGTTTCTACTTCGACTGCAAAGAAGTCTATTCATCCGGTTGAAGTAAAGACTTCGGCATCAAAACCTGGGAATAAGTTAATTAATCCTGTGACTTCAAATACCGAAAAAAATCCCACACAAGCTCCTATTATTTCTGTAACTACAAATGCTACTGTTAATTATAATAATGCTGCTTTTGCAAGTAGTTCATGCATCACTAAAAAAGACTCATCAAGTAAGATTCTTTTTATAATTTGTCTTGTGATTTTATTGTTTAATCAATTTGTTGTTTTTTTTTTAATAGATAAAGCAAGGATCGGCGTTCTTGAATCAGTATATAATACT